CGTGGGCTACAACCCACTTCTTCGGATGCATATTGAGTGAAACATATCGAGGAGATATATATACACACATACAGAGAGCATGAACAGGTGGGAGTTGTCTTACCAACTCTGAGAGGCCAATTAAGTAAGAGAAAAAAAACTTTTGAAGTGATAATCAAGGTAACCAAGTACAGACACTTTGATAAGAAGCAAGTGTGAGAATACTTACAAGGGGAGATAGATTCAATGTTTGTAATGGCTCAGCCATTCCCAATCCCTGTTTAGCCCTGAGTTGATTGTGTCTAGTTTGCATATCAATTCCAGCTCAGCAGTCTCTCGTTGGAGTCTGTTTTTGAAGTTTTTCTGTTTTAAGATAGCCACCCGCAGGTCTGTCATAGAATGGCCAGACAGGTTAAAGTGTTCTCCCACTGGTTTTTGAGTATTATGATTCCTGATGTCAGATTTGTGTCCATTAATTCTTTTGCGTAGAGACTGTCCGGTTTGGCCAATGTACATGGCAGAGGGGCATTGCTGGCACATGATGGCATATATCACATTGGTAGATGTGCAGGTGAACGAGCCCCTGATGGTATGGCTGATGTGATTAGGCCCTATGATGGTGTCACTTGAATAGATATGTGGACAGAGTTGGCATCGGGCTTTGTTACAAGGATAGGTTCCTGGGTCAGTGTTTTTGTTCAGTGATGTGTGGTTGCTGGTGAGTATTTGCTTTAGGTTGGGGGGTTGTCTGTAAGCAAGGACAGGTCTGTCTCCCAAGATCTGTGAGAGTAAAGGATCATCTTTCAGGATAGGTTGTAGATCTCTAATGATGCGCTGGAGAGGTTTTAGTTGGGGGCTGAAGGTGACAGCTAGTGGTGTTCTGTTATTTTCTTTGTTGGCCCTGTCTTGTAGGAGGTGACTTCTGGGTACTCGTCTGGCTCTGTCAATCTGTTTTTTTCACTTCAGCAGGTGGGTATTGTAGTTTTAAGAATGCTTGATAGAGATCTTGTAGGTGCTTGTCTCTATCTGAGGGATTGGAGCAAATGCGGTTATATCTTAGAGCTTGGCTGTAGACAATGGATCGTGTGGTGTGTCCTGGATGGAAGCTGGAGGCATGTAGGTAAGTGTAGCGGTCAGTAGGTTTCCGGTACAGGGTGGTATTTATGTGACCATCGCTTATTAGCACAGTAGTGTCCAGGAAATGGACCGCTTGTGTGGATTGATCTAGGCTGAGGTTGATGGTAGGATGGAAATTATTGAAATCATGGTGGAATTCCTCAAGGGCTTCTTTTCCATGGGTCCAGATGATGAAGATGTCATCAATGTAGCGCAAGTAGAGTAGGGGCGTTAGGGGACGAGAGCTAAGGAAGCGTTGTTCTAAGTCCGCCATAAAAATGTTGGCATACTGTGGGGCCATGCGGGTACCCATAGCAGTGCCGCTGACTTGAAGGTATATATTGTCCCCAAATGTGAAATAGTTGTGGGTGAGGACAAAGTCACAGAGTTCAGCCACCAGGTTAGCTGTGACATTATCGGGGATACTGTTCCTGATAGCTTGTAGTCCATCTTTGTGTGGAATATTGGTGTAGAGGGCTTCTACGTCCATAGTGGCCAGGATGGTGTTTTCTGGAAGATCACCGATGGATTGTAGTTTCCTCAGGAAGTCAGTAGTATCTCGAAGATAGCTGGGAGTGCTGGTAGCGTAGGGTCTGAGGAGAGAGTCCACATAACCAGACAAGCCTGATGTTAGGGTGCCAATGCCTGAGATGATGGGGCGTCCAGGATTCCCAGGTTTATGGATCTTGGGTAGCAAATAGAATGTCCCTGGTCGGGGTTCTAGGCATGTATCTGTACAGATTTGTTCCTGTGCTTTGTCAGGGAGTTTTTTTAGCAGATGGTGTAGTTTCTTTAGGTAATCCTCAGTGGGATCAGAGTGGTGTTGATGAGCTAAAGGGATGGATATGCAGGGGGGGGCTGTGGTTTTTATATATGCAGCTAGAAGCTTCCTGTTCTGGTTGACAATTATACGTCTCTAAACATGGTTAAAAGATTCTTTTCCATGTAATGTTATAGGTGCAGAGCAACGACTCAGGAAGCTTTGGGGAAATAACACTTTATATTTTTTTGATTCAGTAGTACTCTAACCTGTTTCCTCTGCAAATCATTTCATAAGTAATCTGATTCAAGAGAAGCTCTCCTACCTTAACTCCTCGCTGTTTGCCTTTGTTACGTTCTGTCAGCCAGTGGTGGTCAAGGGAGCACAGGTTGGAAGCACAGTCTTTATGTAAATAGTGTCTTCTGAGAGAGAATGAACAATAGTGGCAAGGGCGTCTTAATTCCCGCTACAGTACAAGAGTGCACTGTGCTCAGGGCCCTGTCTTCCGTGGCAGCAGAGCTTGCCATGGAATCGTGCTCCAGAATCTGAGTGTTAATTGAAAAATAAAATATTGTTTATAGCACTCATGGTTGTAGAGAGAACTTTGAAAATGTAAATCGATGAAGTGCTGTCTGCACAAGTATTCAGAGAGCTGAAATAATAGCTCTGAAAGGTGTGAACTGATCCATTCATTTTAACTGTGGACTCTGGAATATAGCATTTTTCAGTACTTCTGCCCTGAAATTTGCTATTTTACTCCTGTTGGACACTGATGGTTTTTCTGTCTACTTGCTCTGCAGAGATCTGTATGCAGCTGCCTTTTATTTTCCCCACAAGAGGGAGTTCATTGCATTATAGTGCTTGCTCCCTATGCTGTTCTATGGAGACAGGAGGCCGGGGTTAGGGAACCAGACCTGAAGCCCAGCTTGCAGCCAGGGAGTGTGGGGGTAGGGTGACCAGACAGCAAGTGTGAAAAATCGGGACAGGAGGTGTGTGTGTGTGGGGGGCGGGTAATAGGAGCCTATATAAGAAAAAGACCCTAAAATCGGGACATCTGGTCACCCTATGCGGGGGAGCCAGAAGTTCTTAGGGATACGAGCCATAGAAGCAGCTTGAAAGGAAGCTTGTTTTTTCTCCCCATGCGTGGCAGGGAAAGCAGCAGGTTCTGAGCTAGGTTGCTTGGACAACAACATAGGAGCTGAGGAGCCACGTGGCCAGGAGAGCATGACAACTAACTTTATCCTCTTAAAATAATCATGGTTGGAAAACACTTCCAAAATTCATCGATGAGCGGTGGGGGTGGGAGAACAAAAATGTAAGAATATTGCATGGCAGTAGAATAAATTAAGGTTGATTTTTAGAAAGCAGGAGTTGCTGTTGTGGAATTTACAGATTGGCGCTACTGAATTTGATCCTGAATGAATGAATCAGGGTCCTGATTTATACTGAAAGAAACAACACCATCTCTTTAAAAAAACAAAAAAACCTCATACCCTTTGTTGTAGTGACTCCCATAAATGCAACTGAATCTGAATAGAAGTACATTTTGTTAGTATCTCTTAGACAAACGCCAACTCACACTGGAGCAATAGTTAGTACTTGCATATGAAAACAGTTACTTTAACTTTTTATTTTAAATATAAAAACAGTATAATAGAAATGTACAGCTTAAAAACAATAATGGAATAAAGTGTTTTGTTTTTAAAGACCGAAGCTGAGAGTTCCATAGAAGCAGATAATACAATCATAGTAATCACCTAGCCATGGTAGGCATGATCTAGAGCTGTTCTCCCATAGCATAGTTCCCTGAAGAACAGCCATTCTGTTTGTTGCAAGTAAGCAAACATGGGAGCAGTTGGTTAGGAAAATTCTTGGTAGCAGTCAAAAATCAGAGTTCTTCATTAGACAGACATCTGGTTCTATTATTATTATTATTATTATTATTATTTTATTTTTAATATTTAAGAAAGGTTTGGGTTTCTTCAGGGGGGGGGGGAAGTGGTGCGGGAGGGGAAAAGAAGCTGCCAAAATAAACTGTAGGGTAGCAAGGGTCTGATTTCCTGACACTAAGAAGGTGGCAGAGCCCATGTTCACAACAGAATGGACTGAGACCTGGCTGTGAACTCTCAAAGTAGGAAATATTCCACCTACTGCTAAATAATATCGGATTGCCCTTAGAACAGAAGGGCAATCTTTGGGTGGCATGGGCTGCAGTGAGAGAAAGTGCCCCTGCTCCCTTTAAGTTCTGTTTTCTCCAAAATAGTTTCTTTGTAGTCACCACAATTCCTCCACACCACTTTGTCCTTGATCCCTTACCTGAAGTGAGGCATTGATACATAAATGGGAAACAGTATTAAAGAAGGCAGATGTGATTGTAGAAGAGTAGTTGGAGAAACAATTATCCTGCAATGATAAATATCTTGCCTTTTATCGAGACACCCTTGTGGTCTGCTTACACAATGTACTTCACAGGAGTCTGGTTCTTCACTCACACTAGAAGAGAAGACCAAATGTCAGAAGAACAAGACTGTGGATCAGCCCACTGAAAGGCCTCCCTTGTAGATTCGAACCCATAGTGTGACAGATGCCCCACTATACTGCTCCCTGTTGGGTATAGCTCAAGTGTTTCAAGCTTTATTCTGATGGATTCGAACAGTGATTTGGCTCAACCTCATTCACCAAATTTTCACTTTTTTTTTTCCCCTTCCCTCGTTCTTACAGTTGGTCCATTAACCATCACCTTTAATGCATTCCCCAGTGAAAGAATGATAATAAAAAAAAATCCCTTTGTTCAGTTTGGAGGCCGCTACAGTCCTCCTCACTGCCTGGCTCGCTACAAATCAGCCATCATTGTACCACACAAGAACCAGGAGACGCACCTGCGACACCTTCTCTATTATCTTCATCCCTTCCTGCAGCGCCAACAGCTTCACTACGGCATCTACTTGATTCACCAGGTAAATCAAAACAATGTGTGTCTATCACTGCTGCTGAGATTTCCAGTTAAGGAGTGGTTTGACTGTGAATGGAAAAGTGGACACACAATTCCCCCCATGAGAAATACGGAGTTTGTGAATGTACAGTGGCACATAATTTGTATGTCTAAAGCGCTTGTCGTTGTATCTTAGCACTAGATACTGTTCCATGTTTGTTTTTTGGAGGGACAAATTTAAACTTAAAGGGTGATGATCTTTCCTGTGAAAGAGGACTGAATATGGCTCCTCTCGAGTTCATTGGAGCTGCTTCTGAGTCAGTCAGAAGTAGGTGCCAGAGTGGAACTAGGTATCCTTACTGTCTGCCTAGACTAGAGTGAGATCCAAACTCTGATTTGATCCTGCTCTGGGTCACTCCTACATAGGCCAAACAGTTGGTGTAACGGATGAGTTCTGGCGTTGTGAAGGATCCCCAGAGGGGGGAAATTAACTAGTGGTGACAACTGATGGCTAGTTAGGAAGGGGAGTCTTTTTCAATTGCATGTAACCAGGATATGTGTTCTGATTTCTGGCTTCTTTCTAAAGAGGGATGAGGGTATAATCTCTGTGTGCAGGGAAGTATAGTTGAAGATCTACGTTAGTCTGTTACAGAGATTAGAATCCTTTTCTTTATGTCCATGTGCAAAAGACTTCCAACTTCCCAAAGTTCATAGAGTTGCTAAGGCAGTAGGTCAAATTTTCAAAAGCAGCTAAGAGACTTCTGAAAACTTTTCCCAGCATCACTTGGTTCCAGTCTCACTCAAATTGAAATCCATGGGAGTTTTGCCATTGACTTCAGTGTGAGCAGCCTTAGATCCTTGAAGCCATTCCAGGAGTTGGTGAGTAAACTGCATGTTTTCTTTTCCAGGCTGGGAATGCTACTTTTAACCGAGCCAAGCTCCTTAATGTTGGTGTCCGGGAAGCCATGAAGGATGAGGACTGGGACTGTCTGCTCCTGCATGACGTGGACCTCATTCCTGAAAATGATTATAACCTCTACGTCTGTGATGAATACTACCCCAAACACATTGCCAGTGCCATAGACAAATTCCAGTACAGGTAAGGGTCTGCATTTGGGATGGACACTTTTCATGATCTTATCAGCAGTTCCTTTTCATGGAACATATAGTATAGCCTATGACTGGACACTGAAGGATGTTACCTCAATGTATTCCCACCTGGGTGGCTGTTGCAGGAAGGGACATGTGTCAGAGTAGCTAGTCAAATGATTCCTGCTGCTCTTCCCCCATGCACCCATATTGAAACTGAAAGGTTTTTGTTCTCTTCTTCCCTAAGATGCAAGATGGAGAGCATTAAGCAGCACAAATGTGACATGCTTTTTGCTCATTTGCAAACTTAACACCATTAATTTGGGCTTGAATAGGGACTGGGAGTGGCTGGCTCACTACAAAAGCAATTTTCCCTCTCTTGGTATTGACACCTCCTCATCAATTATTGGGAGTGGACCACATCCACCCTGACTGAATTGGCCTGGTCAACACTGGTTCTCCACTTGTAAGGTAATTCCCTTCTCTTCATGTGCCAATATATTTATGCCTGTATCTGTAATTTTCACTCCATGCATCTGAAGAAGTGGGGATTTTTACCCATGAAAGCTTATGCCCAAATAAATCTGTTAGTCTTTAAGGTGCCACTGGACTCCTCATTGTAAATGTGACATGATACTGCTGCTAAGTAGGGATCTGAACACTGAGCTGTCTTTGAGATGTTGATGAAATCGTAATCTACATCACTTTCAACAGCTATGGCTTCCCTCCTCCACAGCGATAGAATTATCATGGATCATTTTGTGACACACCAGGACAAACCCAGTCCTTTGAGACCCCTTTTTGTCTTCAGCAGCTATTGAAAGCAAACTGAAATGCATCTTCCTGTGATTGATGGCTAATTATTTTCTTTCCTTCTTCTGTGAGCAGAGTACAGTATTTCCCTCACACTGGGGAAAAAATGCCCGAGTTACAGAACAGTTATTCTCTGAATTTTGCTGGTTAGAAGGAATCTCAGTTGAATTTACCAGTCTGATCTTCTGCACTGAAGTCTTAATATCCCACTTAGTCAGTGACGAAAACCTGTAGAAAGTTCTTTTTAGTTCAATACACTTGCCACGTAAATATGAAAACTATCATCCAGCTTCTTGTGCAATACAAGTACAATAAGCTGAGACCAACATGCATGTGACTCATCACTAGTGTAAGACAGTTTTGTCAAGTGTCTGATGCAAACTCTCAATTTTGACAATTTGCTCTTCTCTTCTCCAGTTTGCCATATTGGTCCTTTTTTGGAGGTGTCTCTGCTTTGACTCCAGAGCATTACATGAAGATAAATGGGTTTCCAAACACCTACTGGGGCAGTCGTGGTGAAGACGATGACATTGCTGCAAGGTACTAACGGATAGAACTGGGCCATTTAAAATAGAACTAAATAAAGGTCTAAAGTAACAACATATTGCGTGGTCTCCATTAGCCCTATAAAAGAGCTAATAGGTTCTGGACAACTTTAATTGTGTATAGTGCTATGATTCATAGATTCCAAGGCCAGAAGGGGCCATTATGATCATCTCGTCTGACCTCCTACTTAATACAAGCCACAGAACTTCCTCCAAATAATTCCTAGATCAGTGGTTCTCAACCAGAAATAAATCGGAGAGCAGGGCTGGCACTAGAGTCACTGGGGCCCAGGGTAAAAAGCCGAAGCCCGAGCCCCACTGCCTGGGGATGAAGCCAGCTTAGCTTTGCAAAGTCCCCTGTGGCATGGGGCCTCGGGCAATTGCCCAGCTTTTTATCCCCTAATGCTAGCCCTGGCTTTTAATCTACTGGATATGCAGAAAAACATTTTTTGTGGCACAGGTGTGCTGTAGAGGTTTTTATAGCATGTTCTGAGGGGCAGGGGGGCTCAGAAAGAAAAAGGTTGAGAACACCTGTCCTAGACCATATCTTTTAGGAAAAAAAAATCCAATCTTGATTTAAAAATTGTCAGTGATGTAGACTCCACCACAACCCTTAGTAAATTGTTCCAATGGTTAATTACTCTCACCATTAACAATTTACACCTTATTTCCGGTCTGAATTAATCCAGTGGCTAGAAGTTGAAACTAGACAGTTGTACTTTCTCTGCTAGATTGAAGAGCCTATTAAATATTTGTTCCCCATGTAGATACTTACTTACAGACTGTAATAAAGTCACCCCTTACAGTTAAGCTATAAATAGGTTAGGCTCAAAGAGCTCAATCTATCACTGTAAGGCATGTTTTGTAATCCTTTAATGATTCTGGTGGCTCTTCTCTGAATCCTCTCCAATGTATCAGCATCCTTCCAGAGTTCAGTTCTGGAGACATTAAATTCAGAATTGATGGTCAGGGCATGTTAGATCTAATATTATTTAAAGTATCACTTTTGTACAGTAGGAGGTTAGCTTTCTTCAGATAGTTTGGGCTTCAGGAGCTAGATAATGTTGCATTGAATACCCCTGTGCTGTCTCTGGGGTTCTTCCAAGAGCTGTATAAACCACTAGTGACTGATAGTTGACTCTCACCAAAATTAATCATTCCATAGGAGAGAATACTAGGCTGACACGTAGAAAACCTAGGGCATTTTAAGGGAAGCTTTAGATTTAAAAATAGGAGGGGATTCAGTACATGGCATTTACCACCTGCAAGACTGTTTCAGTAAGTACACAGCATTTGGGGAGCTAGAAATCTGGATTCCTTACGTTACTATCTTTAAACCGTCAGACACGTAGTGACATACCATAGAGCCTTAAAGTACCGTATGTGTCAGTGTTGGCAAAATGTGATTTGTTGCTAGGAAGGTGACGTACTACGGATGTGACTATAGAGAGTTTTTAATTACAGCTGCTGTGCCCAATGCAGCTCTGTAGAGCACAGAATAAAGACCCTTTGGCCTCATCTACCCTAGCAAGCACTGTAGCTGTAATTCACCAGTGGTACAGCTCTACTAGTGGACATTGAGGCAAACTGTTGGGGAGGTTCTACTACTTAGCTGGCAGTAAAAATCGTACATTTATTTCCTGCTCTTGCACAGTGTGACAAGTTATGTAATTTTCAGTGGAACATTCTGTTCAAGGACACTGGGAGTCTTACCAAGCATTGTGCTCCTGAGAATGGAAAGTTAGGTGTTTAACACAAAGTTACTTCCTTTGATCAGAGAAATCTTATTAAAGGAACATGATTACTTTTAAAAATAATGAAAGTACTATTTGATTAATGGAATATCAGGGTATAGTGCATCTTGAATTTCTAAAAACAAACAGGAGACCTATCCCAATGCTTTCTGCACTACTTCAGCTCTTAACATGGGTCTCAAGTGGGGTGCCAGTGGTGAGAAGTGCCATACCAGAGTCCTGTGCATTAGGGTGCACTTCATTTTTTTTTTTTTTTTTTTAAAGGAATAAATCTGTTCAAGGGGCACTGTTAGCCTGAGTAGACCCCAAAACATACCTTCCTTGAAGGAAAGTAAATCCCATGCACTATCCTGTGAGAATTATGTACTACAAATAATTGATAACCACAGCCACTTGAGGGGCACATTGCTGTTGGCGGTGGAGGCTAATAATGATTCTTTGTTCACAAACGTACAGGCCTGTGTTTACAAAAGTTTGCAGTGATTTGGGGTGCCTCAGTTTTTGAGTGACCAGCTTGAGACACCTAAGAGAGCTGAGTTTTAGAAAGGACTGACCAACTATGCTGTAGAACAACAAAAATAAAATGGAAAATATGGCATGAACCCTTGCTGGCCTTGTCTTCTCTATAAAGCTTTATTATATTAAACACAACTGAAGAGCTAGGTTGGCCAATCAACACTGACCACGGTTTTGCAGTCAGTACAGTACAGATGAAGCCAAGTTTAAACCTTAATCTCAGGCATTAGTATCCTTCTCGTTCACCTCCTGTGAGAAATGAGCTTCAGCATCTTAACTGGAACCATTTAAGTATTAACATTAAGCACAGACCATGTTTTGGGGTGTTTATGCTAATTTTGTGGGTTTTTCATTGTTGCATTAACATAATAATGCAACTTTAAATACAAAAAGCTACAATTAGTCTGGCAATACCAGACTAGAGTTCAACAGCAAAGTTAGCTCAGCTCTTTTGCAGTTGTGTCCATTTTTCTGTGCAGTGTAATGTTTATTTTCTGAATGCAAACATACAAACTTTTGCTACAGCCCAGGCTGAGATAATGGTACTTTACCAAATGCTAAAACATACTCCCTTAATGAATTAATACCATTTCTGGGTTTCTTTTGATAATTCTAGTCTAAATATTGTTGGCATTCTGACCTTTCCCAAGGGCTTGGGAGCAGGAATGTTGCAGTGCAGCTTGCTGCTATCTACCTCTAGCACTTATCTCAAACGAAACGTTTATTGAAAGAAATTGAATAAAAAGTTTCAAAGATGTTAATTTGCCAAACTAAACTGCCTAAATCTTCAGCAAATTAAACGAACATGGTAGTAGCAATGGGTCTGGCTATGGGAGCCTTTTCTGCCCTTAAGATCTATCCAGAACTGCCAGTGATTCACTTCAAATGATAGTAGTACTAGTAATACTTTTTTGTAAATTTCCCTAGCCTGGGCATTCAGACACAGCAGGTACGGTCTCTGAAACTCTACTGCCCTAGCTCATCTGAATGGTAGCATAATGCTCTGCTGCTGGCCCCGCTCACACGTATGTACCACACTAGTTTTAGGTAAAGTAAGTGTTCCTATCCGTCTCTACAAGTGGTGTCAGTAAAGTCAGTGGTGCATTGTGCCATAATTCAGGAGGTACTACTGAGTACCATAATCTTACTTCCTCTTCTTGAATTTGAAGTACTGTCTTTTCAGCCCTGTTGTGTGGTTTTTTTGCTTTGATTGTGTTTCTGCCAGGAACCATCTCTGTACGTTGTGTAGCCTAGAGCTGGCATTCTTGTGTATAAACCCAGATTTTGCTCTGTCTTCATTTTAAAGGATTCAGTTAGCAGGAATGAAAATAGTCAGGACCCCTATTCATCTTGGACGTTACAAAATGGTGGATCTTGAGCAACACAAAGGGAGTGAAGAGTACCCAATAAGGTAACTATTGTAGGAGGGCCCTGTCCTCACTTGTCCTAATTCCAGTGTGTGGCCATCCCTGGTCTGTAGAGCCTGCTGACTGAGTGATATCAACTTCCTCCTCATGCAGGGCAGAAAGCAGCTTCTTGGACTGTGCCTTTCACCATCCTGCTTTTAAATGCTGCTATTTAAAGAAACTGTCTCTGGCTTTGTTCAGCACAGCGTTTAGGAGATTCACCGGGTGGAAGCATTTGCTTGATTTGTTTTGATTACAACTTAAATTCCTGCCGTCCTGCTGGCAGGCTGTGGACTCATGGACAAAAGAACATTTGTGATATCAGCAATATTGTCTGGTCAAAAGCCAATTACAACTGAACCTTACTTTCTTTTGGTGGTTATATTTTTAAAGTGTAGATGCTTTAATACTAGTTCATCACATTGTTTGAAGTCCTTATTAGTAAGCTCATTGTTTTGATTGGCAGTTGCTAGCAAGAGTTTTGTACAGCCCCTAGCACAGTGGGGTCCTAGCCCATGATTAGGGCTCCAGACACTACAGTAATAGTTCGTTAAAATATGAATTCTAAATAGTCATCAAATTCATCATATGAAGAACCAAGACAACTTCCAAATTAATAATCTCAAGGTATCTTGGAAACATTGAAGCTTGTTCTCTTATGTCTTCCCTCCTCTCAAGATTTCTATGTACATCTTAGACAAAATAAATGTCTTAAGATTTTTATATAACAAAGTATTATGCTAGCAGTAGACAAACACTAAGCTGTATGCAGACCCATTAAAAATGTGAAATCAGAGCACTGAATTCAGCATATATGGGTAAGGTGGACCCTCTAATTTAAATCCCTGAGGACCTACTTACATACCAAGAGCTGGAAGAAGGTGTTATCTGGTGGGGTGGAGGCTGTCTACATTGGCATCTCAGCCCTCCCACTTGCCTTATCCTTAAGGCTTAGCTCCTTAACAGCTTCTCTCATGTGTTTCACACGTCGACATACAGCCATCTGCATCTCCATTCTACCTCTGAAATCCTCATTGCCACTTTTGCCTCCTCAGGCCCCCTCTCTCCATGTTCCAACATGTGCAGTGTGGTGCTGCCACTGCCTTTTCATAGATACAGATCACCATTGCCACATCATTCTTGTATTCACACAGGCCACTAGTCTAACCCATTCATTTCAGGCTCCAGTTCCAAATGGTCCTAGTTTATAAACACCAAACGATTACTCCAGTCTCCTGCACCTCACAGCATGTCTCTGCTCCACTCTCTGCTTGTCTAGAACAGGTTTCCTTTGTGCGAAGGAACAATCTGAGGTCTTTTGGTGGAACAGGCTTTACCTATAAAGCTGCTGCCACCTAGAACAGCTTCCCTATCTGCCTATCTACATCTTACTTCAAGTGTTACCTGAAAGTGCACCTCTTCTCTCTGATTAAGCTACTTAATCATAGTCGCATATACAGTGTTGTGTATTTCTCAAGAGTTGTATTGTAACTGACTGGACAAAGATGGGAATGTCCCTTAGTCTCCCCCTGCTGTTCTCTTATCTAACTACAGGTATTCTCCTCCCTTCAGGCCTGCTCCACTGCATAACACCAGAAAAACATGGAAGGATGATGGAATGAATTCTGTAGAGTTCAAACTCCTTTCAAGAAAGAAGCACCTTCTTTATACCAACATCACTGTGGACATTGGGAATGCTCCCATGCTGCCTCCAGAGAATAAAAACAAAGAGAAGAGAGCTTGAGTATTAGTGCAGCACCTGGAAATTGTGCAACACAGGAGGTGCCAGCCTATAGCTAATCAGGAATCAGAAGTCTACAAAGATTGAGGAATTATTTCCTGCTGTGGGCTTCACCTTTCCTCCAAACATGCAAGGGTTAGAAGAGTCTTCAGGAATGAGGCATGAAAGCTACGAGACTGGATTCAGTTTATTGTAGAGAATCCCTTTTAAGCGCTGTAAAATGTGATGCTTACTGAGCCCTTTACACACACACCCCTCCGTTGCAGCCTTGCAGAGTACGTCCTTATTCATCACCAGATAAATCCACTCTAAGCTGTGTACTCTTAAATCAGCGTCACCCGTTAGCTGGATAGTTAGTTGAATGCCAGCTATGTAACCTCTGCATATCCTACTGCTTACTGGTAATTGGGGTTAAAGCTACTCTGAGGACATGTTCTATGTTTTGTTTGAAAGAAACCTCAGTCCCATGTCACTGGTAAAGAGATTCTCTAGTTGCAGTCTGTCTCGAAATAATTTTTTTTTTCCTCAGTGTTAAATATTTCCCTTTCCAACTGTTACATTTTTTGTAAATATTCTTCAGGAAGTTTAAATATAAGATTTTGAAAGTTAATAGCCATCTTATGGTTCCTGTTTTATGTGACCACTTGCTATGTACATGAGCTTCTCCATAGGAAGTCTAGAGGCTTGGTATAGCAGGAACCTGAGTATTGGCCTCCTGCATTTTTTGTGTCTGCCAGTGCTGATCTAATTATAAATCTATTCACTTAGAACACTACTAAAAAAAACTCAGCATGGGATTAGTAGAAATAAAACACCATGTATCTATAAGAGCTAGAAAAGGGTTACTTTAAACATAAGTTACCAGTCTCCCCTCAGCTGCAGGAATTGGGCCCTACCAAATTCATGGTCTGTTTTGGTCATTTTCACAGTCATAGGATTTTTAAAGCTGTAAATTTCATGATTTCAGCTATGTAAATCTGAAATTTCATGGTGGTGTAACTGTAGGGGTCCTGGCCCATAAAGGAGTTGTGGGGAGGTCACAAGATTATGGAAGGGGGAGTTGCAGAACTGCTAACCTTACTTCTGCACTGCTGTTGGCAGCAACACTGCCTTGACAGCTGGATAGCTGGACCCTGAAGTTCTCATCCATTCAGAAGTACAATGCAGGCTTCCCTAAATTCCTGCCACCACCTCAACTCTGCCCTGGAGAAATCTGATTAAGAGGGGGGGTTCAGTCTCCACAGCCAGTTCAGTCCTTGGCCTAGCTCTGAGACTGCAATAAAGGGGGAATCTGTCACTTTTGTGATACAGACACTTCTCCACTGAGTGTGTGAATTCTCAGCTAGTTCTACATGTGCCAGTTCTTAATGCTTTAGTAACTAATCTTGGGCTAACACCCTAGTTAAAGGCCTGTGTCTTCCCCCTTTACCAGTCCTTTCAGCCATCCAGTGGGCCATCTCTTCAGTTTTCACAGATCATGAGAGACAGCTATTGCATTTCACTACCTTTCCTCTGGATTCTGACTGTCACTGTGACCCTCAAACCAGCCATTTATTCTTAGCTGACTGCAAGCAAGCCTTGTCATAAATCTAAAGAAGTCATTTTGCTCCTATTGTATTTCTTACTGGGTTACATCTTTTAAGCAGCTGAAGCTATTTGAACAGTCCCCTACTCCTTCTGTGTATTGTGTGGAGGTCACACTGCTAAATGTGTTAATCCCTTTAGCAATGTGGAAGTCCTCTTCCCCTAAACAGTGGGGTGACCCTCAGGACTAGCCAATAGTAAAGAAAGTTTAATTAGACCAGTCAGGCTCTTGGGTTGTTGAATCCTTTTAACTGCCAGCTAAGGTAAGCTCCCCATCTTTCATTTCACACTGCCTTCCATTCTGGGTCCTTTCTGTTGACATGTTAATAAGGAAAAATTACTTAGCCTTCATGGGAATAAGAAGAGATTGTAGTCTTTCTCCCAGGGTAAAGGAGAAGTGGTTGAAGCTGGACTTTGTACCCCACCCAGATAGATTAAATCAATTTCTAAAAGGCACCCTCTCAATACATTTACAGTAAAGCACCACTTGGAGTTATCCTGTCCTATTTCTAAATACAAATTGAATTTCTTCCACCCCTTAAACAAGGCAGAAGTACATCCACACAGGCTTTGTATTGTTTCCTGACAATCAACAGAGTGGCTGTGTAAGGACTGGCAGTCTCAGGGGAAGGCCCTATTTTTTTTATTTCCTTTCCCCTAGCAGGGTCTGAATCTGCATACGTTAGGATTAAAAGCCTCACTGTCCCAACTATCTCTGCTGTTTGCTCCTTCTCTATACCTTACCAAGCTGTTCTAGTTTATGTCCTGTGCCTACTAAAACAGGACTTAATTATCACCAACCAACTTCTCAAATGCATCCAGAAACTACTCGAAAGAGCATACATTCTGACATGCACAACCAGCTGAGAAATACCATTAATAAAGACTACTGTCTTCTGCACTTGCTAAGTCTTTTTTGCCTTCCTGTTCAGTGTAGACTGGTGGTAGCATTCTGTAGGGGGGACAAGAGGACCAAACAAAATGCAAATACAGTTTAATTTCCTTTTGTCATTAGGTGGCCCTAGAGATTAGTCTTCTAAAAACATCACTTCTCCAGAGCAACTGCTTTGTATTCAGTCTACAGCCTATATCATATTCTCCACCATATGAGGTCAACTAGCCCCAAGATGAGGAAGTCCTTGTGTCATAGCCACAAGAGAATGTGTGGTGGGATAGAGTTCCTCTGGGCTGCTGATCTCCCTGCATGAAACAGACACTTAACAGCTGCAGCTTCCTTACTAAAAGGAGCAGTTATTGCTGCAGTGTTCAGGGGGAAACGGCAGATGGCAGCATATGATGGAATTTACTTTTCAAAGTGTTCATGGTGGAGCAGTGTCTCATAGCTTTTATAGCATTAATGATAGCAAGCATCTGCTATTTCCATTATACATCATTTCTAATTTTCACTGCCACACATTTTTAATTTTCCAAACATTGACCTTTTGTCTCAAGTTTTCAAGATGTGGTCTCTTGCTTTTTGACAGAATTGAAAAACAAAACAAAACCTTCAAGTAAAATCCTAGGTTTTGAGGAATAAGTTAGAAAAACCCTCCACACTTTTCCCATTATAAAACCATTCTAAGCACACAATACAGTGAGAGCAAGAATGACTGAAATGTAAAACTTGGCCCATTTGCTTGATTTGAGGAAAAAGGTAAGAGTGTAAAAAAAACCAACTCACTTTTCAGATTGAAGAAGAGTGTCTGGAAGGTCCTGCCCCCTTTGTGACCTCACTGTATACAGTCAACCTGTTCAGCCCTGGTGGGCTTGAGCAAGGGCTGCTTTTGGGACAGCTTTACATAGGGGAGATGGAGTGTTTTTTCTCTCTCCCCTCAAAAAACCACCTGCCTGACCCTCAGCAACAACAGAAAATAGTGGAAGTGAAAAATCTATCACTGGTTTTAAAATCTCAGCAATTTTTGGTACATTCCAAAATATTAGTAATGTCAGAGATAATCTGAAGATCAAATGGATGAAGTTGGCAAACTCAGGGGCCAAGATGGACACTGTTCTTATAAGCAGTAAGCCTTAACAGCTTGAGTCTTTCCTCTGCAGGACAGAATGAATATGCTTAGCAACTAGCCAGAGGAAATAATTCTTTAGGCTTTATGCTACCATAAGCAGGGTTTTTAACATTTAAGCTTCTAGGTAATAAATTACTGCGTCCTAAAGGAATTAATATAACAAACATCAGAATCAAAGCTTTTCTTCTTGAGAAGACTATGATCTTACATTTATTGATTGCAACCAACATCTACCCATCAAGCGCCAACACAGTGTTGTCTGCTGCTGTAGAGAAGGGGCTTACAACACTCCCATGCATTTGCAATGGGGAAACTTGCAATTTACCGCAACGGCTAACCAGTTTATCCACAAATCAACCCCATTTTTTCTAAAGCAAGAACTACAAAAAGTCAAGTCATTACCTTGTTGGGTATTTATACCACACTGAGCACCAGGCTAACAGTGTCTAGGAAGCAAGAAACTGTGGGTAGTCTCAATCCATTTTACATATGACTTATTTGTGTGTATTCCCTCAATGCCCAGCCCAGACTGGCACAGTAGGAAGGTGATAACCATACTAGTGTCTGTATTGCAGGCTTGCTGTAGAAATAAGTATATCCACAGGACTCTTGAGCACTCCCACTAGGTACTGAATTGAACTGATGAAGGACAAGGGAATCCTTCGGAGTGAAATGGGTTGTATTGTATTGAGAGTTTTTAAACTCTCTTCAATGTGGCTGCAGTTAACATGATTACTTCCCTCTCCCTTTCCTCACTCACCCAGGCTGAGATCAAATCAGCCTTTCTAAACAAGACTTTAGGCTATGAAATATTCTTGCACTTTGTATGATAACGCAGTCTCGCTCCTTTTGAAAACACGGCAGTGTTGGCTCCTGTGTCCTGCTCTCTAATGGCAGAAGGTTTGGAAACACCTACTGGAGCTGAAGCTTTCAGTGGGTGTAGTTCAAGCTCCCAACAATAGAAAGCCAACAGCCCGAACAAGTAGACTTTCTAAATATCCCAGTGAAAACAAACTAACAGGCACGGCGACATATCCACTCGGTCAGTACAGGTCCCCTCGCAGAGCGCTGCCACAAAACAAATTTCGTAACCAAATAATTAGAAAGGATCTAAGAAGCTATTTCCTCTGCACTGTCTCCGTGCTGCTGGGGGACCCCTTCAGGCAGAACGCTGCCTTTCCAGTCACTGCAGCAGCTACCGCAAGTGGAAGATCTATTTCCATCTCCTAGAATCTACAGGAAACTGTTACGAGATCTTGGGTGGCATGCTGAAATCCACTGTGACGTTAATGTACAAAGGGTTGTGCTCCACCGAGAGCAGTTTATAGGAACAGGAGTTCAGCCCATCTGTTTTCCACACTCGGGACACCTGCCGCAAGAGTTTCATCCTAAAGATATAATCAGAGAAAAAATATTTATAGGACTGTGGAGTTGAGAAACCCCTACTCCAGAGGTGGAGGTGCCATTACAATTCACAGCAGAGGAGCATCAAGCTCTACCCCTGCACCTGTGCTACTGGGGGATCTGAAGGAGAAGTGAGAGCACTTTAAAGACTGTGTTCCTTTTACCCAGTTTTACATCTGTTCTCGTGTGTGCATGTGTATTGGGAAGCATAAAGTCCTGCTTTCCCTTCCCTCAG